CGTTATGCAGTTTCTTTCCGGCTATACGACGGCCAAAATAATGAGATTATGAAAAGCAAATTTGATGTCTATCTCTATGTTTATCACACTCATTCATTAGTAATTTTCATAAGTGGGCTTTAACCTTAGAATGGAAGGATTTTTTAACGTCCATTATCGTACAGCACATTTAATGAAATCTTTCAACAACTGAGGCTTTCAGTATTGGATATTACCGGTATGCTGTCTTTCGAAATTTTCTCCTTTAGCATTGTGACTTATTACGACCATCGATGATCAAAATATTTCTGTCTACCTCTCTTGTACAGTAATGTGTAGGTAATACAAAGATTGCAACCCAAATTAGGCTAGTAGTATTGCTTCCTATCCTACCGTCCATAGTGCGCTATAGTTATTTGACTATCTAGCTATAGATCTATTTCATTATTAAGAGTACAAGAAGAACTAGAGACAGCATGCAAGATGTATAGATTCTTATTAGGAAAGGTATTCGCGAACTTCGATTGACTTCATACCGGAGAAAGCCTATACACATCCATGGACGCAACAGGATCAATAACATGCACGTAGAATACAGTGTGTACCGTTCTAAAGTATTAGGTATAATCGATTTCAGTAGAAATAATCATGAATGAACAAATATGAATATAGGATAACCTTTTCCACAGTAAACGCTGACTGTTTTCAAGAATAGCATCTAAATAAGTCAAGATTGACTACTTTGAACCAAGCCCGTGAGCATATTGGCCGTTGTGTAGTGAAGATGAAATTTGCCCTTTTGACAAGAGAGAAAAGTCTCCATGGTCATTGCCAGTTGGTTCAAATATTCCATTGGACTACAGGCTACAGTATGAAATGAGAATTATTTTACTTTCTATTGGCAAATTGACAATAGACTTATTTTAAAAGAATCGGCTTACGGCACATCCCTTATAGCACCAAGGTTGAAAGGATATTCTACCGTACTCCGAGTGGGCATTCGTAGGGGAAACAGGCAGTCTTGAATTGGATTGTGTATGCGTGAACATCAGAGAGTAGAAGATTATACATTCTGCTATTGTTATGATGATGATGATTTTGATTATTATTTTATTGGAGCGGACAGTGGCCATATTAAATCAAATGCTAATATATTGTAAATAATGATCTAAGAGGGATAACAGAGTGTATTATGTATCTAACCCTAAAAGCTCCAAATAAGCAGGTAACAATAAGTTACTATGACAATCAAAAATATCCAACTATTTAAGGGACGTCCTAAAGTTGCACCTTATCCAATCCTTGCTTGCAGCCTGGTATGGTATTGTTCAAGCGATTTTACCAATTGAATTCGCTAGCTCTATTTATGATTACTGTATTATAAATAAAATCGTTCCTGTGTAAGCAAGGCAGTTCATTACAGTTATCGACATATCTACCACACATGTAGCTATTTAGAATTGGATATTACGTTGTATCACACTGCTTGGACCCCACTACCAGATAATATTCAAGGATTTTCTCCATCTTTCTTTTTCACTTCCAGTTATTTGTCTAGTACATTTCCTACTAGCAGCCAATCCTACCCGCAAAAGTGTGTGTAATATTGAACATGAATGATGACGATTATTTTCACTTTTTTTTAACCTCAGTTTGACACTCTCCCTTGACAGAATTTCTATCGTATTTTTATTCAATCATCAGATAAAACTTAGCTTGCACTCTTTGTTGATCGATATTTTCTTTATCTAGGATGTCTACTGCCTTGGTATCTTCATTTTACGACGTTAATAATGTAATTTATAAGGTAAGTTCTCTAGGAAATAATAGCTCTAAATTATTAATAGACATAGTTCATTAGTACAGCCCTAGGCATAGGTATGTAGGCAAAATGAATAGGGGACATTTTGATTAATTGAGAATCAGCTAAACAAGTATTTTATTAACTGGCCACTTGTTGTACCCAATCAATCCACACGAGGTGTTTTTTTTTTTTATCTATGTTTTTTCCTGTCTTTTCAAGGAAATAACATTTGTGATATAAACGATTACTACAATTTAAATTTCATAAGATTAGATCACGTCCTTTTTTCTCCTTTGGAAATTAGCATATTAATCTCATACTGCTACTTGAAAATATTGATTCCTGACAGTGGGTTGTTTTGATTTTTTTCTTTCCATTTTTTGCTTACTGTATACCGCCTAGACTAGGTGCTTGCACCTATTGAAAAGTGACATGGAGATTTATGCTATCTACTCGAGTTGATAATGATTGATTTTGAAGTAAACTTAATGGCAATTGCCTGGACTGGTTGGATACTCAGTAGTGCTAGTCAGCTATCCAATTTGCCCACCCTTTCTCCAGCGCCTTAGTGATTCTGTCTTGCATATTATGAATATGGATTTTAATTAATGAGTTTTACTGTCATGTAGAAGATATTGTTATGGTTTAAATTAGCTGTAAAAGATAATGCAATAATAATGAGTTGGGAAGTTTAATTGATATTTACTTTATAGTTACATTATCTTCCCCAAAAAAATGGACGGGCTACTTTATTGAAGCAGTATTAACGTATTTTGTTGATGTCATGGGAGAGAAAGAATAAACTTATCTTGTGGCCATTTTTACATTGGATTGATGATCATATTTGTATTGCGGTAGTTCAATTTGCAGTTTGATGGCTCTAAAAAATGATATTCGCAAGAAAAGTATCAGTCAACATGCAAGCTAATGTATTCTATACAGTATTACCGTGTACAAAGTAAGCAATAAGGCACATGACTGAATTTGCAAACTATCCAGGGCAAGGATCCAATTGTAGCTGCAGTTGACACGATATAAATGGACGTATTGCCGATACAGTCCAATTTGGTAGTTTATTATTGTTCAAACAATCATAACTGCGAGTTTTGTCAAGTAATGAAAGAATGTTTGCAGTGTATTATGAATCACTTTTCATTATTATTCACTGCATAGTTGAATAATCAAGATGATACAATTAGGGTGGTAGGACTTACTTAATATAGACATGGCGAGTGGATAGAGATAGAAATTAACAGTAAAATGATTTAATAGCAACGAAAATTAGAGAATTACTTTGTCATGACGATGTTGTTGAGAAAATGTCGGTTACTGTATGCTACGTGTCCATTAGGCCTATTTCTTTACCTTGTCCAACTAGACAATCCAAACCTTGTATTCGACTACAGTAGGATCATGTTAACCTTGATGAGCACTTGTTGCATTCATTTTACAGTACTGTCTTCATAATTAGTGTTACAAAGATTACAGCACGGATTTTGAAAATAAGCTAATAAGCGTGACTGCACTATTATGCTAATTGTGATTATCTAGAAGAAGAGAGAAATAATACGTTAGAAAAAAATGGCCTCCTTCCTGTACATGGTACAGGATATATCGAAGTAGATGATTTTTTATTTGTAATTCGTTGCTCCGAAGTGATGTACATTGCATTTTTCGCCTCAGCCATCTATCCTTCCGTGTCTAGCATGTTGAAAGCTGTCCCATGCTATAGACTTATGACGACTACTGTAGGCTTGACTTGAAGGGTCATTCGTTAAGGCAGCACATTGGAGTGCTCGATGATGTTTCCTTGTAAATACTTGTACTCGTACGCTATTCTCTTTTATCGTACAGTAGTACATGTCTTGTAAATGATTTATTTTTTCCTAGTTAATTTAAATTCGTTCGTATCCCTACCCCCGGTAGACAAGCAATGTTAACAAATCACTTTTCATCCATTTTTGGGATGTTGATGAAAAGGAAAAATAGACATTAATTTGTGTACAGCATCGGCCAGGTATCAATATCACGTTTTTTAAATAGATGAATTGATTTAGTGTCTGTACAAAGGCAGATTACAGATTGGAGTTTTTATCCGACCCTTTTCCCCTTTCCTGTATGGTTTTACCAATTAGTGTTAGGTTTGGATCGTTGTATCGAATCAATCGCTATAGTCTATTGGATTCCATGGACGATGATAGGTCGTCAACGATTAGAGCGACTTGGCAGGAAAAGAGTTTTTAGGGGAGGGAGCGAATTGACAGACAAATGACAGACGATACGATGCTTTGAATGACAATAAATTAGGGATTCTCATTAAATGCATGGCGAATAGATTGAATCTATTCTCCAAGAAATAGCATCCCCCTAGACGATGTAAAACTCCATTTGTTGCTGTCTAATGCGCTTAGGCATGCAGCGGCCATGCACCATGATTTAAAGGGATAGAGGTGAACAGCGCACATCAACCTGGCTAACTCGTGGTCGTAGAAGAAACTGGAAATCGTGCGTCATGCATGCGTGTCGTGCCAGTGGAGCTGAAGTACAGTACCAACGGCCGGCCACGTTACGTAATCGTTGGTGGTCACCCTTTAGAAAGTGATGTGACTGTAGTAGTTGATGGATAGGCGTGCGTCACCTTGCGCTCCTTGTCAAAAACCTTTTGGACAGTGTACTCGGACTGCCATACATATCGCATGCGATTCCATCCATGAAAGGAGAAAAGTAAATTGAAAAATTTCTTGCCCATCCATTTGAGTAGTTTTACATCCTTGTCGCCTTGCTTTGAATGATTCTCTACTATTAGAAAAGACGCCCATTGACGTTGAAGGGAGTTGATGTTATTTCCCATTTTTTTTTTCTTTGTTCTACAGTACTTGGTTTCAATGCAAGATTAGATTACGTTAGATTAAGATTAAAATGAGATTAGCAACCAAGTCATCGGTGATAAAATATTGATTGAAAATCTTTTTTTTCCCCCCCTTGTTTATGTATGTGGATACGTGGATGTGGGTTATGATTGCCACTGTAGAATAACAACAAAGCACAATATCAAAATTCTTACGATCATAAAGGCAAGCACGATAATCGTCGACAATCGTCGTCTTCTTCCGCTGTCAATCACCATCATAATAATCAACATCCTCGACGAAACTCTTCAGGGTTAATCAGCAAATCTCATCATTCATCCATGATCAATGTTGCATCTGCCAATACCATGAACCATAATGGTCATAGCAATTCCAACAAAAATCATCATAATCATTTAGATCGTGGTAGTGAAAACGAGGATGAACGCAAACGAGTCATTAACTCAAGTCGTTACAAGACAGAATTATGCCGACCTTTCGAAGAAAGTGGTACCTGTAAATATGGCGATAAATGCCAATTTGCTCATGGTATACACGAATTGCGAGCACTAGCGCGACATCCTAAATATAAAACAGAATTATGTCGAACTTATCATACTATTGGATTTTGCCCTTATGGACCACGATGCCATTTCATCCATAATGAAGATGAAAAACGACAACCATCAATCGGCAATAATTCATCATCCTCCAATAATGCTCCTCTCAATACCAACACTGCAACCAATGGAAACTTAATCAATAAAAATGGACGTGGCCAACAACAACATCATCACCATCATCATCATCATCATCATCATCAAGGTTATCAACAATCCATTCCACTACCTGATGATCACAAGGAAGGTGTACAAATGACCATGTCAAGATCGGCCGATTCATTTAAACTCTTGCTCGAGAAAGATGTTAGCGTTCAAGAAGCACGCCATGCTAAATATATGGTCAACAATAATCATAACAACAACTTGGCCTACTCCAATAATGATAATTGCAGTAATAGCAGTAGTAGCAACAGCAGCCAAACTGGTAGTACTGGCAGTAATGGCCGAATAGAGAACAATTTTAGAAATCACTATGGCAATAATAAAAAAATGCAATCTGCCAATAACAACAACACTACCGCTTACAGTGTTATCGGTGGACATCGCCGAAAAAATCTATCCTATCCTACTACCGACAGCGGTAATTATTCACCGGTCGCTTCACCTATTGCAATACAACCACCGGCAGTAGTGGAAAATTCAAATACGTTATCATCGCCATCACCACCGGTTCAACAATTTCGTTCGCTTAGCTTAGGCCAACCGGAAAATTTCAACCATAGTGAATCACCGGTTATTTACAACGATATTGTGTCATTAATTGGGCCAGAAAGTAACGCCTCTGACGATGTCTTTGAAAATAATAATCAACACTCGTCTTACGACAATTCTACCGATCAATTATCCAACAATGACAGCGGTAAAATAAGTGATAATGAAGATAGTGCTAGTAGCAATAGCAGTGTTTGCAGCGGTATGGACGATTTAAACTTGCGTCGTTTACCTGTCTTTGATAGCTTTCTCAATTAAGTTCAAAATAATTCAAGCCATGCTAGTTTGCGCTCAACGCTATAGTAAACTGTATCAACATCATCGTCAAGTGATACAGGTATGGGTACAAAAAATAACATTGCAACCACCTTGTTAATTTAATAGACACAATAATTAAAAAGAAGAATATTAAGCAACTTTAGCCCTCAAGGAAAGAAATCGTAAAATAAATTGCAACGGATGAATGGTTGGTCTCTGTGCTAGTACAATGAATACATACTGCTGTAATGGATAATTGAATATTCTTGGTCAAAATAGAATTGTGACTATTTTTAAGTCGAGATTTGGGGGGGATTGCATTCATGTATATTAGACATACGCACTATATATAATTCATATACATATTGTATTAACAGTATACAGACATACCCTCTAGTATGATGTACTTCAGTCAATCGTAAACTATTTGGACGCTTAAAAAAGCGATTAGGATTATCTACGATTTATCTCTATCGTTGATATTAAGATTTTATATTATCTAGTCGCTGAAGCAGTCGATAAAATGCTGTATCATGAACATGTACCTAAACTGCTAGGGTTAGGAAATTTTCTTAACATTATACGGATCTTGTGATTTCAACTACAATTAATATTATTAATAAGGTACTACGGCATAATTAATCCAGATGTATCCCACTTTAATATCTAGTATTTATTCCTTACCCTCATGCAAAAGTACCCATCAAATAATGCTTCTCAATCTAATTACCTCATTGTAAAGTACAGTTGGTCCACTTGCATGAAAAATTATTTATCGAGACGCATATTTTTGATTGAAACTTTTTTTTCTCCTTTGATTGTTTGATTTTATCTATTCTAAGCATGTACTCTTGTCACCTGTACCTACCAAGAATATATTACAGGAATGATTGATCGATTCTACTTTGAACAATTTTGATACTTCTCTATGCAGAGGATATTTTTGGGGGGCATGTCTTTTTGTCAACAAAAATGGTAAAGTAACTTACTAACTATTGCATCTTATAACAATATTTTATTTGGATAGGAGGCCTATATTAATTCAAAGTTAATGTATCGATCGATTTGATGCTACTAGTGATTTTTTTTCAAACATGTTAGTCGCCCAACTGACAAATTATATAGGATAATTGCGTCCAATAGATCTATATTTGTATCGCGTATCGCACGCTTGATGTATGTGATATAGAGATAGCTATACATGCATATTCGTATATACAGTATAGTATTTTTTTGTTTTTTTAAAATATGTTGAACTCTATTCATGGCATCTTACGAAAAATTGTTCGCTGTGTTGATTGAAAATGTATCATCCTCAACTAAGTTGAACAGTGCTACACGAAATTTATGTCATACATAAGATAGAAATTGATAGATGTCAATGCACTGAGCGCCATGCTTATGCGTGATTGCATCGTCATCCCGTACATCATCATTAGTATGGAAAATAGTGCAAGTATCACTCTTAATAGAGATCTCTATTTCGCTAATCATTGTTCTTTGTACGCTTTATTCTGAACAATCGCATTTGTTTTCTATGTTTTCACTGGTAAAATCATGTGAGGTAACAAAGTTATTTATTTACCTGTCAAGACCAATTTATTAATATTTAAAAAGTAATCGGAGAATAACTTGAAGAATAATTTGCTTAGACAATTACTTTGTTTGCTTTTATATTATCAAATTAATAACAATCAGCACAAAGAGATAAAAAAAAATGGAGAACTCCTTAATATCGTAACAAGAACACCATCAATGCAAGACTACTGTACTATTATTTTGGATCTTCATCGACCAAGGAACATGCTTTTATTATATAATACACAAGATTGCATAAAGCACCGACATATCGAACGTGCATCTTGATTTAATTTATCCAACATGACATGAATGACGAAGAAGCATCATTTATCAATAACGTTCTTTAGGCACTTTATACTTTTATCAAGTCTTCACAATTTTTTCTATGTTATTACGGTAACTATTTTGTTTTTTATTAAGTATCTATGCAACACATAATATTAAATGTTGTCAATGTAAGTTATAATTATTTTTTTTTCGTATTATCTTATAGCTACAATAATTCTTGATGCTAATGACTTAAAAGAAAGAATCAGTAATATATAGATCATTCCAATAGCATGCTATTATAAATTGAAAGAATCAGCTTATAGAATAATCATAAGTTGATTTACTTCTATCGTATCTGATTCATGGAAATCACTATTTTGATTATGATGTTATTGGTATTGTACGTCTAATATTAGAATGATTTTTCTTGGCTAAAAGATGTTTATAAATTAATATTTGTACCGTCATGTATGAAATTTGATATTTTAAATTAAATTAGGCATATCTAGTAGATTTTGAACTCCTATTCAAAAAATGTCATTATTTGTCCGTAGATGATGACTATTTGTGATTCTTAATTTATACAAACGATGGTAGTATTCGACTTGTAAAGTTTGTACTCAACATGCGTAGATAGTTTAGTACGCTAGTGACATAGGCTAACAACAATTATTTCTCACTTTCATCTTAAATACTTTGCTCGTATAATGTGACAGATATTATCAAATTATAAAGGCTTCAATTTGAACGTATTAGGCAGCATATATTAAAAACTTTTCGTCAACAGGTTTTCGAAAAATGTCCTAAGTGATAACATTTATTTTTTTCACTTGCTTAATAATGCATAAAAAAGATCTATGAAGTAATTTATATACTTTGTGTTATAAAGATTCTCTAATACAATTTAACGATTTATATAACTGTCCTATTATGTTGTAGCTGTGCAAATTTACGTAATTAATGTCTCCATTACTATTACAAGTTAAGTTACATATTCTATATTTCCTGTACTATTAGCGTGTTAACTGTGCCGCCGATAACAGCTTTATGTCTTATTTATGTTTTTGCTATAAATTATTTGTAATTTATGTCTTATTAGAGGAGAGAATCAGTATGATATAGTTCATACTATGTGTTCGTACCTACGCCTTATAGAGAGTTATTTATCGACAAAATTTTAACCCGTAATAATAATTCTTATTGTACGTCCATGCAGCTGTTAATATTTTTGACCTCGCTATATTATATACTGTAGTAATGTTGTTATCCTTGACATGTTTTTAAAAATTACGCTATTTTCCTACTTTATGAGTAAAAATATACCGTTGGTTACACTTTTACTACATGTTCTCTAATATAATTGATAGTAAATGATGATACTACTATGATATTGCATAGATCTTAAATGTGAAATGTTTAAAAAGTATTGATAATAATTAAGTAATAATAATTAATCTGAAATTTTTTCTCGGATAACTGTAGTCGAAAAAATAGCTTGCGCAGTATCTGCATGACTACTTTATTAATGCAATTGTAATGCTTAACTAAAATCTCTAATTCTGTAATTAACGATTGCCTAATCAAATAAATAAACAGATGCTTTTGTCAGCCAATAATAATTTAGTACTTTTGCATATCCGCATGTTTCAAGTTTTACAAGGTATTTATTTCAAATGACTTTCAACATCCTTCGTGGAAAAGTATTTTTCATCTTTTTCTCCTATTTCATTATCTGAGCAGTAATGTGATAAAGCGGACGATAATTTAACACCTTCTAAATATCGATCGTTCCTGTTGAATAATTTTATTTCTCCTACGTCTTAATTAATAAACCTTGACATAATACGCGTATTATAATGCACGGAACTTCAATAAACTTTTAGAATGCACTCCTATTAGCGTAACTCTTAAACTACTGTATATCTTAAGATTCATACAATTTCCTCTGATCAAAGAATTGCCAACAAAAAGGGTTCGACTATTGATGTCGTGGTAGTTATCTAGGACCAGCCGTACTACTCCTAATTGACGATTTCTAATAATGCTTGTTTGATGACTGTTAAATTATATGCAAGTCCAGTTTACTTTTTAAGCCCTATCTTGCCAATAATAATTAATAAAATAGCTGGAAATGCTTCTTTTAACGAGTTTACTCGTCACTTATTTAACTCTCTTTAATTATTAATATACTAAGCTTTCCTAGATTTATACTTCACCATAACGTTTCATCT